AGGTATATGTAGATGATATGCTAGTAAAAATCCTCGCCACAGCAGACCACATTGACCACCTTCAAGAAACCTTAGATGTTCTTAGGTCATACTACATAAAGCTAAACCCTGAGAAGTACACCTTTTGCATTGGGTCAAAAAAATTCTTGGGCTTCATGGTCAACCAGAGGGGAATTGAGGCGAATCTTGATAAGATCAAAGCCATCTTGGATATGAAGTTACCCACCACAACCAAGGAACTCTAGTGCCTCAACGGAAGAATCACAACACTCAATAGATTTGTTTCCAAGTCTGTAGATAAGTGTTTACCCTTCTTCAAGATTCTCAAAAAAGCCTTTAAGTGGGGATTTGAGGATTTTCAAATACTCAAAGTTTATTTGGCTATGCCTCCCTCCTTTCAAATGCCATGCAAGGTGAAACTTTATATTTGTACCTCTTTGCATCCCCATCGATTGTAAGCTCTGTCATCATCAAGGATAATGAAGGAGTGCAAAAGCCTGTTTATTACGTAAGCAGGGCATATCGAGGAGTAGAAATAAGATATTCAGGGCTAGAAAAGCTAGCACTCGCCTTGATCTCAACAGTAAGGTGTCTTCGACATTACTTCTAGAGACACACCATTGTTGTTGTCATGGACCAACCTCTAAAGGGGGTTCTGGGGAAGCTAGACATCTCTGAAAGACTCCTTAAGTGGGTAGTAAAGCTAGGAAAGTTCAATGTCCAGTACCAACCAAGGGTAGCCATCAAAGCATAAGCCTTGACAGACTTTATTGCGAAGCTCACGCCGGTAGAGGAGGAGGGCAGTGTACCCTCAACACCTCAGTAAGCCGCATCAGAAACTTACCCAAACACTTAGGTGCCAAGGCCTGGCACCCAAGACAACTTCACTTCCTACAAGGGCGCCTAGGGCATCCAGGCTCTCACTACAACCTCCAAGGCCCCATTTCTACCACCTCCTTCAGAGCTTTACGTGGATGACTCCTCAAATAGCAAAGGAGGTGGAGTAGGCCTAATCCTGATCAGCCCCCGACGGCATTCCCATCAAGTATGCCATAAAGCTCCACTTCACCGCCTCCAACAATGAGGTAGAATATGAAGCCCTCCTCTATGGCTTTAGATTGACAACTGAAATAAAAACTCAACACCTCTTTGCTTATAATGACTCTCAGTTGATAGTCAACCAAATAAAGGGCGAGTTCAAAGCAAAAGGAACTAGAATGCAAGAGTACCTTGTCATGGTGTAAGCTTTGCTTACGAAGTTCCATCACTTCTAGATCTGTCATATCCCGAGGGAGGACAATATGGCTGCAGATGCACTTGCTAGGCTTGTCTCATCCTCGAAAGCCCTATCAGAACCAACATTCATCGATTACCAGTTCGAGGCAAGCAGGCTAGACGTGGAAGCCATTAGCGTCAACTACATATCTGCCGAGACAAGCTGGATGACCCCAATAAAGGCATACCTTTAGAAGGGTACACTGCCAAACGACTCGACAGAAGCCAAGAAGCTCAGGATGAGAGCCTCCAAATTCACTATCCTACAGGGCGTCTTGTACTAGAAATGTTATTCCTTGCCACTACTATGATGCCTCTCCCTAGAAGAAGTTGACTACGCCTTACGGGAAATCTATGAAGGAGTTTGCGAAAACCACTTCAAAAGTCGCTCCCTAGCCCACAAGGCACTTAGGCAGGGCTATTTCTAGCCTAGCATGGTTAGAGACACCTAGGAGTACACCAAGAAATGTGACAAGTGCCAGCGCTTCGCCACGGTGCCTAAATAGCCACCAGAAGAGCTAACAACCATCATAAGTCCATAGCCCTTATTCAAATGGGGCATCGACATCTTGGGCCCCTTACCTATGAGTAAAGGGCAGTGCAAGTTCGTGATGGTGGTGATCAACTACTTCACAAAGTGGGCGGAGGCTAAACCCTTAGCGAAGATAATAGATGCAAAGGTCAAGGATTTCATCTAAAAGAACCTGGTCTACCACTTCGGAGTACCCAACACTATAGTCAGCGAGAACGCCAAGTAATTCGACAACAAGTGGCTGAACTCGTTCTGCGCTAACCTCCAGATAAAACAACCTCATTCCAGCCCAACACCCATAGGCAAATGGACAGATAGAGATCATAGTCAGAAAAGTACTACACAGTCTAAAGACAAGGCTCGAAAGAGCGAAGGGTCTCTAGGTTGACGAACTCCCGGGTGTATTATGGGCTTATCGAACGACGCCAAGAACCCCAACTGGAGAAATCCCTTTTGTTCCTCGCCTTTGGAACTAAGACAGTCATACCTGTAGAAATTGGGGTACATTCTCTAAGGGTACAACATTACGAACCCATGACCAACAAGAAAGGACTCTGTGTCAACCTCGACTTGGTGGAAGAGGCAAGAAAAATAGCTGTAGTCCGCAATGTGGAGTACAAGTGCCGTATGACGAGATACTACAACTCGAGGATGAAGCATCGTCCCTTCCAACCAGGAGACTTGGTCCTCAATAAAGTGATTCTCGCCACAAAAGATCCGCGAGAAAGAAAGTTGAGAGCAAATTGGGAAGGACCCTACCTCATAATAGAAGTGGTGAGGCCAAACACCTACAAGATCCAAAATTCTGAGGGAAAGGTCTTAACCCATCCATGGAATTCTGAACACCTGAAGAGGTACTACCAATGACACCTTAGGAGAGTAGAAGTAGAAAAGTTGGGGAACTTGATTTTATTTCTTGTACCTTTTTTGGGTTATTACCCATCATTGATTATCATAAGCAGTCATTAAATAAAATTTTCTAAATTGACTTCAAAAGTTCTTTGCATTCTTGCATTCTATTTGAAAGGAACATTAGTAGCAAAAAATCACTTTTACAAAAGTGAGGCTACACACTGCCTTTCTAAAAAAAAATCAAAATCAAAAGTTCCCAGCACTCTAACTGCTCTTATGGTCGTCCTTCTCCTTTTCATCTTCTATATCGTCAGAACCTCCATCACTATCATTAGGCGCCTCATATGGCATGAAGCCTAAAAGATCAATATTAGGAAAAACAGCAGAAATCTTTCCCTGAAACTACTCGTAACCATCAATGAAGGCATTGCAAGGTCCCTCTCTAAATCACTCTCAGTCTTGACAGTCCTTTCATAGGCCAATAGTAGACCTGCCTCAGCCCGTCCCTTTCGTGAATTGCCTGTGCCTCTGCCTCCATTCTCAAGCAAGCAGCTTCTCTAAGTGCGGCCCTCTCGTGGGTCGCCACAAGCTCAGCCTCTTTGAGCGCGTCCCTCTCATGGGTAACCAAAAACTCAGTTTCAAGCTTAGCCACCCTCTCGTGAGTCGCCAAAAGCTATGCTTCAATACTCATGCATCTGAGAGAGGCCCTCTTATGGGTCACCACAAGCTCAGCCTAGGAAGCCCTACCATCAGCTTCAAACTCAACAATCCTCCCCCGAGCAGTAAGAAGCTCCTTTTGCATAGCCTCATGACTATGCTTCAGTTGGCTATAATAAACAGCCCTTGAAAATAGGCACATAAATGCAATTGAAACCTGAAAAAGGCAAAAGACAAAAGAATGTCAATGCCTAAGGAGGGACTAGAGAAAGGGAGACAACAGATCCTTACCTGAGTCAAACCTTCTAGAAATGTGTTGATGACGCCCTTGGTGCCTCGAGCACTAATCTCATTAACATCTACCGAAAATAAAAACCTACCAAGTCGATCCTTGATGACTCGTACTTTACCTAACATGAAGCCAATTTGAGGTGCTCCTGTAGAAGTTCCCACAAGAGGAGTCGATGAATGGGGGGCAAGAGGTGTTGTTGACGTAGGAGTCTTCCGAGTAGCAGTCATATCTGAAGGAGTCGCTGATCGAGGAGAGACCACTGGAGGGGTCACTTGAGAGGGGCTCACCAAAGTATCGCTCACCTTCGCCACCTTGGGAGGCAGAGTACTCTTAGTGGAATAACAGGACTCCACCATTGTCCTGTCCACTAGAGAAGGGGAAAAGTGTTATCTTCATAAAAACCAGGTAAATAAGGAGAATACAAGGGAATCAACATACCCTTTCTCTTTAAAGAAGAGCCGCTAAGTCTCGGAGAGGGCGCACCAACCCTAGCACTGGCTTTAGGAGAGTCTTTAACTCCACCCTCTTGGAACATAAGAGCTCCAAAATCCTTCATAGGATGAGCCCTCACTGCCTGTAACTTTCACTCTTGATCCTTCGAGAGCACTGGAGAAACTCGAAGGAATATGATAAGTACACATTTACAAAAAAAGGGAAAAGAAAAAGGATAAATTTGGGCTTACAAATTTGATTGGGAATGTCCCACTTTGTAGGCACCAAAGCTCTATCAACCTCTGAAGCTCACTCTCCCCCAACGAACATGAAGCGAGACTTTTAGCTATGACAGTTGGAGCGCAATTTGGTAATTAATTTACCTCCTCTTGTAGTAAAATAGTACTAGCCTCGATTGGGAGCAGGAGTCTCACTCAAAGTATAGTTTGCACAAAACTCGTCAAGAGAGGCATCCTCATGATGCACCTTATTCCACAGTGCCAGAAACCCCAACAAAACTCTCCAACCATTGGGTGCCAACCGCCTTGGTGCCAGTGAAAAGCAATGTAGGATGCGACAAATAGAGGTAGGCATAGGGAACCTCAGCCCAACCTCAAGCACCCCCTCATAAATGGCAATTTCTTTAGATGAGTCATCACAAGCAGGCTCGTCCATCTTGGCTAGATGAAACAGTACCGTTAGGAGAGTGTTATAAGTAGAGACAATCCCTAGAATATCCGCATCGGTGTTGAGAGTGCTAAAGATGGTACTTACTTTAGAACTGTCATCGTCAGGAGCTACCTTTCCTCGATGCTTGTTGTTGCGAGGACGAAGTGAAACATTGGTTGAGCCACTGCCAGGAGAGCGCTGAGGTATTTTACTCTGTGAAGTTCCACCTGAGCGAGCCATATTACCAGTCATTTGGTTAGAGTCAATGCCGCCAAGAACACCTAGTGAATTCTATGCTTGCGAAAAGCCAAGCCTAGTGTCCCCCAAGGCTATATCAGCACCCACCAATCCTTGCCCAGCACACTGGAGTCCTAGTGCTGCTTTATAAGAAGCAACCTTCGTCTCTCCAGTCACGTCCAGTGCCATTGGCTCCCTTCCAGTAATGCCCAGTGCCAGGGGCCCTTTTCCAGCAACGCTAGCGCCATAGGCGCCCCTCCAACAACCATGGGCACCTCTCCAATAGGGCTTAACACCACAGAAGCCTCTCCATCAGCGCCCAATGCTGTCTACACTTCCCCCAGCACCTGGGTGGCCTCGACCTCGATGCCCAGCGCCTAGGCCGTCTCAATCTCAGCGCCTAGTGCTTGGGTCGCCTCAGCAATGGCACTCAGCGCCTGAGTCAATCCCCCTTTGAGCCCTGATGCCTACACACCAGCCTCGCTAATGCCCATCAGCGTCTTCCCAATAGAGGTCCTCCCTGCACAAACAACGCCCTTCAATGGCGCCCAAGGAGCCCCAACATTGGCACCTACCAGTTCTAGTGTCCATCATTTGTTCCCAGTGACCTGGGTCACCTAGGCCATCTCGGTCTCGACGCCCAGCGCCTCCCTCGCCTCTCTTGCACGAACAGTACCCTCCAATGGCAATGACGCGTATGCCGCCTTATTCTGCTCCACACCTCCACCGCTATTCTCATTCGTCTAAGCTTCTAGAACTACGCCGATCTCTCTAGGCTCCCTACCAAGATTCAAAAACTCCTCAATGTCCTCTCCTTCAATCGACATCGCTCTGAATGTTCGATTCAAGAATCTCACCTCTTTGTTCTTGAAGAATTTCAGGAGGAGTTCTCTCTCTAAAATTTCTATGGAAAGGGAAAAAAGGGGTTTTTATTTATAAAGGGTTCTTCGAGAATAAGAAATGGGGAAACCTAGAGATGTCCTACAAGAAAAAGGAATTTATATATCAAGAAGAGGAAGAGTTATTAGTCAAAAAGGGTCTCCGTTAGCATAAATTCAGGTTCAACCAAATGCACTCTTCTCCAACTTTCATTGGACACAGGGTATTGGGACGTAACAATGGGTTTGGCCCAAGAGCCCAATTCACATTGTGAGCCCAGTTTAAATTAAGAGCCCAAATTGAAGAGATCTAGTGGGTCCAGTCCAAAAGAGTCCATGCCGAATCAAGCTCATTCTTTTATTTTAATTTTTTAGCATCAATAACTTCTACTCTAACTACATTTAACCAAAAAGATTTACTTAATCTAATCATTTATCATTTTCATATCTTGTGTGCCACCCTAGTTATGGTTTGTATTCACTCTGAGAGTTATTGTCCAGACCCATCAACCCATGTTGGCGTAAACAGCCTGCTCTCTACGGGCTCTATCCTTTCCACTCTGTCAAGTTGTAAGCCTCTCTCTCTCACTCCTCTCCTCTCTCTTCTATTTTGTTCTTACTTGTTTGAAGCCTAGAAGATTTATTCTTTCCCAACTTTGGTTTTTTTTTTTTTGGTTAATTACAAAATGCCCCCTCCAAGTTTGGATTTTGTTGCAATTGACTCCCACAGGTTTTAAGTTCGACAATTTGCCCCCTTAATCTTAGAATTTTTTTCAATTAGCTCCTCCGTTAGTTGACACCGTTTAAAATGATTGAAATTTGATATAAAAATTATCTAAAATTGATCAAAAGTACAAAACTACCCATATCTCAATTTTTTTTTGAAAAAAATAAAAAAAAAAATACAATTTTGACCCTAACTTGCACCGGTGAAATCCCAACTCCCTCCTTCTTCCAGTGAAACCCAACCCCACCCACCACGCTCGAACAACTAGACAGCTTTCCCTCTTTTGGAGAAACCCAACTCTCTCCCTCCTCTAATTCGTATATATTCAAAGAGAAAATACACATGACTATATCCAATGGTTGTTTTGCCATGGTTGATTGGATTGATTCAATGGTTGTTGTGAAGTGGGGCTTGGGAGTTTGCTTGAGCTGGTATGGGAGAGGCTGGCGGAGGTGGGTTTTGGGGTGCTACTAGCGTTGGGTATGGGGTAGGAGATTGCCGGAGCAAGAGGGAGGTTGGAGTAATCGGACAAGCCCGACAAGTACCCATGGAACCTCTTTCCTCCGATGAGAAGACCCAACCCATGCCTCCTTCAATAAACCTCATCCCCCGAAACGAAGCAGTTGAATTCTCTTCCACCTTTGGTGAAACTCATCCCCAAGCATAAAAAATTGAACTCATTCCCTCTGCAAGTGAAATCCACCACCACCCTCTAACAATTAGTTCCCAAACAAAACCCCTCCCACTAGTGAACCGCCCTCAATAGAAATCTACCTGAGAGAGAGAGAGGGTTTACATATGTGTACACACATACAAATTGATCTGTTGGTTGTCGTGATTGGAGAAGAAAGAAGAAAGAAAAAGGAAAGGGGGATAATTTTCAATTGGTGGGTAATCGACATGGGTATGGGGGTTGAAGTATTGCCGGAGTTGGGGGGCGACGTACTGGAGTTGGGGAAGGTGGTTTGTATTGGGGAAGTTAGCATAATTATATATAATTTTAATTAATAAAATCATATCAATATCACATAAATAAACACAAAATAACAATAAACTTAAAATAGAATAAAATAGATACTACAAATTAGAAAGAGCTGGTCTACGAGTCTGAGAGTCGTGTGACTATCCTAAAGCAGCTGAGCCTCCCCGCGTGAGGGTACTGACAGACACCAGCTACTCCAAGATCAAACCCAGATGCTCGCAGCAGTACCTCTTCAATGGTCAGGCCCATTGGAAGAAAAGGATAAACCTGACTCGAATCATATGTTGCCCAAAACACAAAATACTTGTAGTAATATAATTGTAGACAAAGTTTAACAAGAAAGTGGAATACAGGTTTAATGCCAAGAACCATAGAGAGTGGCCTCCAATAACATGCGTATATAACCATTGTGATTTGTAACACCCAACCCATTAAAATCATATTTTAAATTCATGAAATCAATAGCAAAATAAATCTTCAACCTTGTAACCGAAAACTTTAATTAAAAGTTTTAAATTTTTTTTTTTATAATTTTAACAATCCCCCACAAGTTTTTAAAACTTGAATATATATATATAAAATAAGGGCAACAATAATACTATGCAATGAGTGTAGGTGTCTTCTAGGACTTGAACCTCACTTAGTGTTAACAGTTTCCCCTGAACGATCATAGTGACCAAAGATTTGAACTAGACCCTTTGAGTCAGAGTTCAACTATCACACACATAGTACCGATATTGGTCAGGATTCGCGGGTCAATGCGTTTAATGGTCATGCACTTGATCTTGATTCTCATGAGAGTTTCTAGAGAATAGCTCAATTCTCATAGTCGCGGCCTCACGACTACTATCACTTAGGTGAGCCCTCCAAGGGTACATGTGCACAATACCCTGCAGGAGTGTTCTTGGCTTAGTCTCATTCAGGACAAAATCCTTTCTTATTGTCACACTACATAAGCACCTCTGCCATAGGGATGAACAAGAAAATATCTCCTCTTAGGATATTTTCTAAACAACGGTGCTAATGAGTCACGTAGTATGGATTGTTTCTACCCATTGAACTTCGTTCATGGGGTTCGCAATCACAGAAGTTGGGTTACCTCCCTAGGTGATTCCCTTACGAGCTTAAGCGCATCCCCCTCGACAGTTCTTGAGATAGCTTTCCTTAAAGCTCACTGATGAAATAAATCATCTTTTATACATAAATGTCTCATGGCTTTCCTCGAAAGCTCTAAAATTATTTGTCAACTTTGTTTGACTGAGATTTATAATTTCAGTATAGAATTATCATTCTTCACAGATGAATGTCTCGCTCAGACGTGCACACCTTATTAATTCCTCTATTTGATATTTGACTTGACCTGTCTTTCAAACATCAAAGATAAACACCACGTTAAAATGTATTTGTCTGAGAAGATTTTAAGTGCCAGCATAGTCAATAAAGATCTCAACAGATCATTGCAATCCTCATTACAAATGAACATATAACGAAACCATCTCATTAAGAAAATTCAAATTGCGAATCCAAGAGATATCTTTCAATTATACCCCCACGTTTCCAATTTTTTTCATGAGAGTTACTAATGCTTTAGCTCCTTATTTAAAATTTGAGCTATGTAATTTCTTCAACTTGTAATTCATAAAATATCATTTGCATCACACTGCTATATTGCCAACACATATAGTTTGTGTTATAACCATGCCATCAACATACCAGTATCAATCAATAAAGCTAGCAGAAGTAGCTTGAAGCATGTCATGACCCAACAAAAATATATTCTATCTCTCAACTTTGTAAAAATTTTACATAGTCTCACAAACTAGAGAATAAATGCATGTTGAATGTCTAATCACCAAAATAGGTCAGATGTCGTAGCTTGGTTAAACAAATTTATTCATAAATAACACTCCTTATTGGGTTTCTAAAAGCACGTTAGTGCACTAAGCTAATTTGGTGCTATAGTACTTCTTACCAAGCACCCAATAAATCTGAATTTCTGTTGCCTAACTCTTAAGTCACACTAGTTTTTCAATAAGCCTTTTTTTTTTATCTAGTAGTTCAATTGGGTGATAAGGTTTACATGTTTCAAAGACTACAAGTTGAATGCCAAGACCCATAGAGAGTGGCCTCCAATAACACGCTTATATAACCATTGTGATTTGTAACACCCAAGCCATTAAAATCATATTTTAAATTCATGAAATCAATAGCCAAATAAATCTTCAACCTTGTAACCGAAAACTTTAATTGAAAGTTTTAAAAAACTTTTTAATAATTCTAACAATTTGGGGGCACCATAGTTAGGGACAGAGGTTGGGGGCCCTAGATAAGGAGGCTACCGGAGTTGGTAATGGAGATTGAGGAGACCGCTGGAGTTGGGGAAGTTGGTTGTGAGGCTGCCAGGGTGCGTGTGTTTGGGCTAGTAAGAGAAGAAAGAGAATATTAAAGGATAGGGGTATTTTAGTAATTTTATATTTCCATCCTCTTTGTTAAACAATTTAATCATGTAAAAACTTTAAAGGGGAAAAATGTCAAAATTAAAACCTGAGGGAGTCGATTGCAACATGACCCAAACTTGGAGGGGGCATTTGTTAATGACCCCTTTTTTTCAGGGTAACAATTTTTATTCTATGTTTTTAATTTGTCAGAACACCCTTCATTGTTACTCCTGTGTTTGTGTAGATAAGCAGCATCTTTGCTTCTAACCTATCGGTATACGTTTGCATATCCCCTTAGTGGAACAAATTCTATTGGTTCATAAATTTCATAAATTATAAGTGAATTTTATTTGGGCATCTCTGAGTTCTAAAGAGGTTTAGAGAGTTAAAGGCGTATTTAAAATTAATTTTTTTTAATTTTTTTTATGTGTATTTGTGTGAGCAAGGGAGAATGTGTTACACTAGAGGGAAACTAGTGTTGCTGAGAGAAACGTTTTAACTTTTGCTTTTACTTTGACTACAAAGAGTGGGGATTAACTTTAGCTCTCTTTTTTCTATAGAGAGAGAGAGATAGTTGTGGTAAATATAAGTTGATTTTTGAATTGATATTTTTTTATAATTTAAAATTTTGAGTTTCTAATATTATAGGTTGGATGATAGGCCTCAAATTATTGAAATTAAAATTTTTTTGGGACTTCTTGATAGGACTTAAATTTTTTTAAACTGTTGATGTGGGCTAACGAAAAAATTGGGTGTGAATACATTTTTTAAGACTTATTTGAGAAAGTTCACTGATAAGATTTTTACTCTATTAAGTTCACTTATGCATAAATTTCTTAGTATTAGGTACACAATTTAATTTACTTTTTTTCTGTATTACTTAATTACCCTTCCTTAAATAATTCATAACTGTTGAGCACAAAATATTATATATTTTATGATTTAATTTTTCTACTTTTTGCATTTGTTGCATTTTTTTATCTTTATTGATTATGTTGAAATTTTGATTAAATGTGTTTATTTGTGTTTGTAGGTGCAAAGGGGAGAAGAAAAATTATTTTGGAGTTGATGGAATGTCATGGGAAAGCATTGGAATGAAGAAGAGTTAACCCAGAGGAGTAAAGACAAAAAAATCGGAAAAAGACTTCTTCAACCGGTTAAACTTCAACGGATTCATTAGGTTTCAACCTGTTGAACAACCAGATCATCGGGTTGCAGTTGGGGTTCAACTTGTTCATCAGATCTTAGTCCAAGATGTTGCAAGCACTTCAACCAGTTGAACACCAACGTTCAACCGATTCATCAAAGGGTTATCAAACAAGATGCAAGATACTGTGAGTTATTCAACCGATTCAACGAAGGCTTCACCTGGTTGAACCTCTTCTTCAATCGGTTGAACTTATGTCGACTATAGAGAAAATTTTCTTGAGTTCTCATTCGTTCACGGGGTCAGCTAACTTCACTCCTACACTGATGGGGTGGCTACCAATCCCCTTGAGCTTGCTTGCTATTGGTGGGAGCACCTCCCACACTTCACAAGAGCCCCCCATTGGCTGACGACGGCGGAAGAAGTTTCTTCGAATGACGACCCACCACCCACACCGCACCTTCATCTAATGAATTGAAGAGATCAATGACATAAATACTTGTAATTCTCTTCATTGAGGGGAGGCTAGCTTTTTAGAGAGTCTTTTGTTCATTTTTATTTAGTTTAGAAGTTTATTTCGTAAGTTTCCATTTTCAAAGCTTCGCCGAGCTTCGGAGAAGACAACCATCGTTTTTATTTCCAAATTTCTTTTTTTCATCTAATCATTGTATTTGAACTTAGTATTGAGAAGTAATCTTAGTGCAAGCATTTCCTTCAATTTTCTTTTTGTTTTATTTATGTTTGTTATATTGTTTATCGTCGATTTCAAAGTTATTGGTTTTGCTTCCGGCTAAGTGTCGGTGCGATCTGAGGGATGTTTCTTGTTCATGATTGAGCCTTATTGATTCTCTAATGTGTGCTTACCATGTACTATGTTTTTTTGATGTTAAAAATCACTTTTAAAAACTGTTATTTGTTTAGGCATTTTGATTAGTGATCAACGGATTTTCGGCACGATTAATGCTTAGAGCATATGTTTACATCTACGTATTTAGATATTCAATTACACATATTTCATATTGAGTTTTTGTTGAATATTTTTCATCCGAATAAATTTGATTGAGTTTGGATGAGTAA